AAAATATAAAGTTTTTTCTTAAGAAATGTTTGATAACTATCTGGATATTATAAAGATTTCGCATATGAAATTTCAAAATTTTCTGATGCATAAAAGTATTTTTAATCTTATAATGAAAATTACTTTGCATGATAGATAGGCAAGATGTGGAAAGATAAAAAAGGCATGAAAGAAACATTGCTTTACAAACCTTACGACTTAATAAAAAAAACTAGATATTTTGTGTATGAAAGCATTGTAATGTTTACTGATAATCTGCCAAATTTCGTTAACGTTAGCTTACTAACTTCACATTGATTGACTTTGTAGTGAAAGAGTTAAGGGGATTTCTGAATAATTTTCAAAACAAAAGCCCCGAGGAACTGTCTGAATTCAAATCTAAAGCCCAGTAAGTCCTTATCAATAATTTGTGAAGCTATTTTTAAATCATTAGTCACTTTTTTTTTAACAGAACTATTATCAATTTTGTAAGGTTAATTTAAAATATTTTTGTCTGTCAATTCTAGGCTTTCAACATGTTGTGGTCCAGTTACGTTTTCTAGATGTCCCAAAGTGACAAATCTTTTCAAGAATTCCCTGACAAGACCAAAGATATCTGTAGTCATAAAAGTCAACAACTGTTTATCAACCTGGAATTAAATGAGAAAAGGTTTGATTTCTCTAGCAAGTGAGAGAGAAAACTGTGCTTTGGGGAAGAAAAGATGAGAATCAACAGCTTTAGAAATACTGTCATAGGTATTTAATTTTGGTGGGTTTTTCTGCACACCCACATACGTTTTAAGATGAGGTAGCAGGGACAAGCATTTTGCCATAACACTGTTCTCCAGCCACTGGTGCTTACAAAACTTTGATGGAAGGACCAAGAATCAAGTTTCAATTTTGAAGTCATCGGCTTCTGCAAATCTTTGAAAAGTTAGCAGAAATTTGCCAGAGTTTCTTCAAATTTCCAGTCAGCTGCTTTATGCTCATCTCTAAAAGCACTGTAAATTTTGTGTAAAGCACAAGATCAGGTCTTTTTGGATTGAGTTTAATAGCTTCAGTTGAAAACATTTCATGTAATTTCCAATTAACAATGAGGCTATTCATGGATATCTGCAATAAATTCTTCAAACTGAGGTCTGTAACAACAGGGAACAGTTTGTCAAATAGATCAGTGGTAATAACATGTCCTAAGAAATCTGATTTGATGCATCTTGTGTGGGCAGTTTCTTCATCCCAAAAGCAAGATGAATGTCATACTGGATCATCTCATTCAAGCTCTCATCAAATAAAAGAAAATACCCATCAGACTTCTGGAATTTCTGTTTCAGTATGGAATTGAAATATGGAGCAAATATGTTCTTGGACCAGTAAAGCATGTCAGATGATAGTGTGCACACGATCAATGACAAAACAGTTCATTCAAATGATAATTAAAGTTTCCAAACTGTTTACTTATCTTTAAACTCCATTAAAATTTTTGAGTCAGCTCGTTCTGTAAATTTCAAAACTTTTCCAAAGCCTTTCAGAATTTTCCATATTTCCAATCCTGGAAATAATGTTCATAAATCTAAACTATTTAAGGATTTCCAGGAATACAGCAATTTTGTGATGGTGTTACAAGTAATGAAACAGTTTTGGGTACTATTTAGGGTGATATTACAGGTAATGAATCAGTTTTTGGTACTATTTTTGAGTGTTGTAAAAAGTAACAAGTCAGTTTTTGTACCATTTATGGTGGTGTTAAAAGTAATGAATCAATTTCAGTAATGTTTATGATGATGTTACAGAAAATAAATTCCTGTATTAATCAGTATTATGATCAGTATTAATCAAGATGGTGTGACAAATTTTGGTACTGTTAAGGAGGATATTATGAATCAGTTTGTTGTACTTTTTTTTAGTGGTTAATTTTGTATTTCATTTCATGTTTGATTGTTACAAATCTATATATAATTAGGTTTAAAAAATGTCTGGCATAATCTCAATAGGTTAAAACTGAAGCTCTTATTGAAAATTACAAGTCTTACTTTGGTTATTGTTATTGATAAACGTTTTGAATACTTTTCCCAGAATATACCAGGAAGTTCAACATAACATATAATTTAGTTCCTTAGAAATCTTCCTGTGTGGAATGTTATTTTTACCTACGTTTTAACAAAACAGTTAAAGAAAAACGGAATGTGGTATTCTAAAGGAAAAGTTAACACTATCGGTCATCACACAAATTTACCTAAGCCAGCTTCTCTGCAAACAGCATAAGCATCCTTCCTTCTTGCATGCTTCACTGTAGCATCATCACCTACATCATCTTCATCCTTCTGAGCTTCCTCTTCTTTCCCACCATCTGCTTCTTTCTGCTTCTGTTTACGAAATGCTTCTTGCATGGCAGGTACATCTTGATTATAATACAGCATAAAATTTAGATGCATATCTCTCAGTTCTTCAGTCGTCTGAACTTCCTCCAGTCTAGAAAATCAGATAATGTACGTGTCGTTTGTATATGCACCAAATAATAAACCATGGCATTTTATTATAACCAAAGTAAGAATAAACAGCACTGTTATTAATAAATTTCAAATCTAAGCGAATCTGTAACCTTATGTAATGCAACAAGAAAACAAACTTGTACTTTGATTCTCAAATTATTTGTATCACAAGTATTTTAACCATCATTTGTTTAAAGACTTAAATAAATATTCATAAATCATTTCTTGCCAAATACATAACTGTATGGATAATAGTTTTTTTTTAACATTACTCATATTTCAGGTAATTATCAATGACTCATTTTCAGTTAACTATCTAGTATCAATGATCATAAAATCTAAAGCTAGAATGATCACCTATCAAAATCTGAATCATCAAGAGGCCTAAGACTCTCGGCCAGGGGTTTCTCTGGGTCTTTCATCACTTCATCACACTGGTATTGTTGCATTTTGTGGAAGAGACGTTTCAGGTTGTTCTTGCGTGTCTTCAACTGACACCACTGTAACAAGGTTATTTCTTAAGTACAATTACACCAGTCATCAAGAAAACCATAAAACAAAAGTTTTCAGAAAGATTAAAGCTTCCATATGAATAAAAAACAAAAGCATGCCCCACCTTCTCATCCCATTTGTATACTGTCCACAAATCATTTATGTTCAAATCTGGTTCTACGTATTCCTTCTTGTAGAAGGCGATAAAAGGCACCTACGTATGAATAAACAACATTGTCAGAACTTTATTATAAAAGACACCTGTGTACAAACAAACAACACTGTAAGAACTTTACAGTAAAACAACTAAACACTTGAACTCACTGATAGAGAAGACTGCCTACACTGAATAAATAAGAGATCTAGATGGTAAACATAACTTTACTTTTAACACCAAATCTGCTTCTTTCATCACACTTTATAAGTAAATTCATTAAAAACTGAGCTAAACATACCTTCAGGTAGACTGTTTATTGCTGTAGATTCAGTTATTAAACAAGAAACATCTTTAACAACCTAACTTAATAATGAAATTCTGTTTTTTAGAAAACACAAACATAAAATTTCTAATGATCAGACTTGGAGCACGATAAAAGAACAGTTACTAAATTGAAATTTGTAGTATCACTTTATTTATATGCTGTAAAATAGCAAACTCAAAAGTCTGCATAAAGAAAGCTTTTTACAAATAACTTTTCAATCTCTATATCCAATACAAATATTCTTCATTATCAAAGTGTAACAGTTTTTTATTATCATGAGAAATAAAAAAAACAATTATACTAATATATATATATTTTCATGAGAATGTCACAGTAAGCTTAATCATCACACTAAATTGCATTTTTATTTTCAGCCTATAAAAGCTAGTACAGTAGAACCTCGATTAACGGGCACCGTTCCATTAAATGCTGATTATTGTGTATTTCATTATAGACCTCTAACTACTGTGCTAGTTCTCTGCAAACCAACTTCAAATTGTTCAGTTTACCTGAGCTTTCCTATCTACAAATAAATCTATATGCTGTATATAAGTTCTAAAAAAAACAGTACATGAAAACTTTTAAATTCTTTCGTTTTTCACAACTTTTATAATACTCCTGAAGTGTACTTAAAAAATAAACAAAATTATTTCTCAAACAGAAAACATTAGAAAAATAATGTAAAATTGACCTCGAACTACTGGGTTTCCAAAACTTTAAGTGTCTGTTTGAACTTTATCGTATATATACACACATGGTCCTAAAGAAACTGTATACAAAACAGTCTTCAAATTTCTGAATTCTAATGAACATAGGATTGAGACATAAATCATTAGAGGCATTGTCTGTGAAACTAACTTCAAACTGCTGGTTTCTCATGAACTTAAGGGCATCTCTGATCTTGTACACAGCTGTTGGGCCTTTCCTTCCAGCCATTGGTTGATGCCCCCCATCTCCTTGATCGGCAGTTTCCTGAACAGAAATGGTAGCCGTGTTAAAAGCCATTTTGTAGATCCACTTTGCTTCTTCTTCAATTTCTGCATCTTCTGCTTGTGTCACAGGCACTGAACGAAGCTGAAAATATAGAGGTTAAAACATTTGAATGTTCCTTTGATATAATCAAGTTTTCTGGTAACATGATATCACTTCAACACTTTGAGTTCACAATGAAGCTAACAACAGTACTAGTACTGGTTTGAGAGAAGGTTTAAACAGATGAAAGTATATTTGAAAGGTTGATGGGCTACATCTGCTTAGGAAGTTTGGACTTTTTTTCTTCAGTTGCTAGCTGCTTGAAATTTTGTCCAAAACTTCCTAGAAAGATGCAATACATTAATAAGATCTTTTACGAACACTCGAGTGCAACTGGAAGTAATGACAACATAATCCAATGAAACCAGCAAAAATAAAAACAGTACTGATAATATAAATAACCCAGTAACACTAGCAGGCTGTAACAATGTAAAGATATTTAAATGCAATTTTTTTCTCGAATAAAAAAATTCATAAACTTTGCTCAACATAATAAATCATTCAACCTTTAGATGCACAATATTTTAACATTTCAGCTGACAAAAAGATGCCATCGCAGGAGTTGTTTGCTGCTATTAGAAAACAAGTTTAAAAGGAAGTAATTAACCTCTTCATAAATTATTGGTTTTATATTACTAGCCTATCCATCAAAAATACAGTTGTAAAAACTTGCAAGAACTGGAAATAAACATAATTTGAAGGTAAAATTATGTATATAATGTCAATAATTATCTCGAGACAAAGTTTTTCTACAAATGTTTCATTAGTTATTATTCGGAAGAGATATAACAAAGAAACAAAGATGTGTTGAAAAAATTTAGGATTGTTGATAGACTATTTAAAACTATAGAAAACTAGATTGCATGTCAATTTTTTAAATGAATGAATACAATGTACTTTAGTTTAAAAATGTTTAGCTTAAATTGGCTAACTGCAACTTAAGATCTACTAAATACTATAGGTTTTAACAAAATAAGTTTCTAAAATTAAAATTGACACATGAACTGAAAGTACATAAACAGTTGCACATGTATACCTTGACTTTCTATTGGTTATAGGTAATATATAATGAAACGTAAAAGAGAACTATCAACAAATTGTGCAAGAGAGGACATGACAGGTGGGTGTGGCAGGAGGGGTCTGATTTTCTATTTGATAGCTCTGTAACCAAACAAAATTGAAGACTATAGAAATTATGGTTTGTCTGAGCAATGACAATATTATAGTGAGTAACTTACATTTAATTTCATACTTTTTTGAGGGGTGGTAGATAAAATAGGGATAATGATATGCTACGAAAAAAATGTGTCACATGGTTCACACTAGTAGAAATTCAGGATTTTTTTAATATTCCCTTGTAGAATTAAGAACTTAAAACTTGTATACTATTTAAAATGGAATATTACCTAAGATTTTATGGTATTCTAATTGGTATAATATAAACAAAAAGTAGTTTAATAAAATTTTTAATGTAAGACACTAAAACTTTGTGTCATGCACAGATCATAAACAAAAAGTAGTTTAATAAAATTTTGAATGTAAGACACTAAAACTTTGTGTCATGCACAGATCATAAACAAAAAGTAGTTTAATAAAATTTTGAATGTAAGACACTAAAACTTTGTGTCATGCACAGATCATAAACAAAAAGTAGTTTAATAAAATTTTGAATGTAAGACACTAAAACTTTGTGTCATGCGCAGTAAAGGATACCAAGGGCAATATGGTTAAACTAACTTTGTCTGTATATGTACTTTTACTTACAAGTTAGTGAAGTTTTAGTGTATTTCTTCAAATCTCATATAACTAATTAATTAATGGTAATAAATAGTTATGAGTTTTCCAAAGATGTGTCTAAACTAGTTTGTGATGAACCTGTATATATTATTAGTCTAGACATCGAGCCGCTATAATGCAAATTTAATGCTTGACCTACTATTTTACACACATCTTCTCTTTTACAATTCATTGATAATTATCTTACGTTTCCTTATATATTACCTATAACCAATAGAAAATCAAGGTTTTCATCTATCACATGACATATTGTATAATGTTATATTCTGAACAGTTAGAATTCAATTTCATTCAGAATAGAAACATTGTTCCCATGGGAAAGTTAATGACTAGCTTGGATGAATTTGTAACGGCTCTTGTTGCATAGTTAGAAAGCCAGAAAAAATTTGAGAGGTAAGTGAATTTGTCTACTTTTTGCATATTATTAGTCTATATTCTTCAGTGCATTATTTAATGAAATAAAAGTTAAGTGCATTACTATTAGTACTATAAAAAATTAGGCTTAACTCATCGACAATCGAGAGCAAAAAAAGAAGATTGAGTAAGTACTTTATTTTTTGTTTTTCATATTTATTCTTTATTTATTATTATAAAGTATTAAAAGTATGGATCTTTTTAAGTTATCTAAGTCTAGATTAGTTATAATAATTAATAATAATATTATTAAAATGATTCATGAAGCACGCATGCGAGCAGCTCGTGGATAAAGTAATTCGATAGTGTAACGTTAGTTGCACATTCCCCGAGTGATTTACAACTTCTAATGATGCAGATAGCAGTTAGACACGGTTCAAATGGCAATAGAACAATAAAATTTAATTATAAATAGATGTATAATGTTATGAACTTAGAGCAACTTAGGATAAACAAATGTAGTTTCATATTATAATTTGAAGTCATACTAGAAAGAAAAGAAGGTTAATTTAGGTATATTTCTAATTTTTTTTGGTCGTTATGAGGTCAGTCAAATTGACTAATCCCGTTTTGAGATAGGGTGGAGTAAATAACATATAAACTATAAGAATTTAGTACAAAAAAAGTTTGAAATGTATTTAGGAGGTTTTAGGGATTACACAAAGGAAATATGAGATTTTTGAGATGCCGAAAAGTATTTTTAATTTTAACATGAAAATTACTTTGCACATGGATTATTCAAAACAAATACTCAATATATTCATGGATAAAACTTTATTTTATTTTATTAAAAATACTTCATTAAGAAATATGACTTTTTGTATGTGAAAGACTTGTAATGTTAACTGAAAGACTGCCAAATTTCATGAAGATATACCCAATATATAGAGAGTTATAAATATTAAATTTATATCAACTTTAAACGAGTACAAAAGGTAAGGTGACTCGGTCAAATTGACCAACCCCGTGTTGAGAGAGTTAAGAAGAATTTATAATTTAATTTATTGTGTTTATAATATACTTATTTCCTATTCTAGATTCCATAAAGAAGTAGAAATTATAAAGGTTTTATTACAAAATTGTTTTCCTTTACAGTTACTTGATAGTATTACTAAGAATTATTTAAAAGCTTTGTACATTTCTAAGACTAGTAAACAAGTTGAAACTCAAGAAATAGTTCATTGTATTCTACCTTTTACTCGAAAAAATGCTATAGAATTGAAGAAAAAAATTAAAACAATTTTGAATAACAAAGTTTATCCACAAATTAAGTTTAGAATTATTTTCAAACTGACTTGTTGTATATGTAATTATTTCAAATTTGAAGACGGGATCCCTATAACGCATCGCTCTTATGTCATATCAATTTACATGTCCAAGGTGTAATCTTGGCTATGTGGGCTCTACAATTTGTTGTTTTAACCCAAGAATTAAAGAGCATGCACAAAATACTTCATATAATCAATCAGCCAGTCTTCGCAAGACTGTGACATAAGAACTACTGCTAAAGATTTCAGCATCTTGGGGAGTGCAGACAATGAAAAAATGCTCCACACTAAACACAGGTTGTAAATACACAAGGTGCATCCTGAGTTGAACATAAACCAGACAGTGTCATCTTTGCTTCTGAAACTATGATTTGATCATTGCCTAGAAATCAAGATGTAAATATGCTTACCAACCCATTATTAACAAGTGTCCAAGCCCACATAGCTGATGCTCTGCCAAATGATGTGGACTAAGCTGGTCCTATTGCATCCACTGGTCTGGATAAAACATTTGTCTCGATTCTTTTCAACAAAATGTGATAAAGCAGATAAAAATTTATAAACTCAGTTTTAAATCTTTTATTTTACTTATAGGTGAAGGAAAATACCTGAAATCTTTCAGGAATATCAGTTGTTCTGATTTCATTGTCAAGATCTGTGAAATGTCCATGCTCAAGTTCACTTGGCTCATATACCTAGAAAAAAGATAAACATTCATTCACAAATTTCCTCATAAAAGATACACAAGAAATGTATGTTATAAAAATAGTTTAAATATAGTTACAAAAATGTTGTATGTTTGTAGCAACCAATATACATAAAATGTGACAGTGTTAAATGTTTGTAGTTTGTTTTGAATTTCACACAAAGTTATACAAGGATTATCTGCACTGTGTGTAGTGACTAATACATATTACACAGAATTAGCAAATATAAACAGGTCTAATGTACATAAAATCTTTTATTCTTCCTCAACAGAAGTTTTAACTTTTCTATGGCTTATTTGTTATAAAGATTTTTAATAAATTGTTCTTATGCTTTGCTTTCAATTAGATAACTACCAAAATTTTTATTTTTGTACTGTTATTTGATGTGTTTTATATAATAAAGTAGAACAATAATAATAAATAACACATACATATATTCAATAAAATCAGGGTAGAAGAATAAAAATTTATTACATCAAAGATGCTCTTCTTAGTTTGCCTTTTCTTAGTACTTTTCTTAGGCCTTTGCTTTGTTTCTCCTTCTTCATCTTCTTCTGCATACTAAAGTAAATAAACAATAATCAACCTGATATACTCAATTTAAAACACTTGCATTCATTCTGCTCTCTGGTATTAGAATATGATTTACACTCTCTTGAAGCCTATATTATTAAAGTACTAATTTCTTATATTATTAGTTAGCGGTTAAAACTCCTATTTTATGTATTTTTACAGCTGAAAGTAAACCATAACTGAATGAGAAAGTTAATTACATGATTACATCAGAAATTCAATATCATGTCTATACAAATAGTTATAACAAAACCATAACAGTACAGAATCAGGAATTATATTTGTAACATTATCTATCTATCTAACATCTCTTACTTCATCTTCTTCCATTTCCTCCTCTTCATATTCATCACCGTATTGCTCAAACTCATCAAAATCAAAATCTCCACCAAAAATGTCTTGAGCTTCTTGGAGGGCCCTGAAATATCAATAAAAGTGAAAATAAAGTAGCATTTCAACATTTATTGAAACAAGTAAAAATTATCATTAACACCTTTTGGATCTGATCTTTTCCATTGTCATAATGAATTTTGTTTGTATGTTTGTAGTTAAGCACAAAGCTATACAATGGGTTATCTGTTGCTGTGTCCATCAAAGTTAATGAAAACCCACTTTCAGTATTATAAAGCCTGTTACTTTTGATAAATTTAGTTATTTTGCATTATGATAATAATATTACATTAGGAAATGGTATTTATAAAAAATTATCACAATATTTATATTTGTTCCAGATTTGAACTGATTACTTTTTTTATGTTTTAGTACATTATTTTAAAATCCCTAAAAAACGTTTTATCGTCAATAAAATGCAAATTTTGTCTATTTTTAATTTTTTTAATAATCACATACTCTCCTTATGGTTACAAGTAATATACAAGTCCCAATATACAAAACACTTGTCCACTAAAATACAGCCAAGACAGGTCACTTTGTAAAGGACACTTTTTTATTCTTGGATACCATAACACGAGTGCACGTACGATGCATCATTGCCAGGCACGGCTTGAATGTCGATATAATAAAAATAATAAATATATATATATATGTATAATGTTATGAGATTTAAGCTATTTAGACTAAACATTTGTTCTCTTGTTATAATTTGTATTCATTCTAGAAAAAAAAAGCATAATTTATATCTATTTCCTAATTTTTAATGGTGGTTATGAGGTCAGTCAAATCGACCAAACCTTACAGATACAATAGTTTAAATAAGAGATAAAATATAAATTTGTTTCTAAAAAAAAATAATGTCTTGTAATTATCTGGAGGTTATAAAGATTTTGCATGTGCAATTTGAAAATTTCCTGATGCATAAAAGTATTTTTAATATTAAAATCAAAATTACTTTGCATGCTGGATAGTCAACATTCAAAAAGAAAAAAATGCATGAGAAAAACAGTACTTAAAAATTGTAAAAACTTGATAAATAAATCTGACCTTTTGCGTACAAAAGCCTTGTAATGTTTATTGATAATCTACAAAATTTCGCGAATATACGCTGTATAAAAAGTTATAGCATAAAAACTATAACAAGCACAAAATGGTTAGGAAGTCGGTCCCTGGGACTGAGCCCTTAGTGAAAGAGTTAAGGTACAACTCCTCAAAACTGTGCAGAAATGAAAATTTGAACATTTTTTCATGTTTCTCTGAGAAATACACTAAATAAATGTTATATAATGATATCACTTCTAAAAACTTGAGTAACAAATTGTTCTCCTATTAGAAATATATATTTTACATGTTGAAATGTTGATATACAGGTGTGCACTTGCCACCTGAGGTGTCCACAACATGAGTAATTATGTTAAATATTTGAAACCAAAATAATAATGTTAAAAAATGTAATGAGAATACAATCTGTTACAATGCTAGAAAAAACAAAACACTGAAGACACAAGTTAAGAAAGAGAATGGCATTGAACTGTTACAAATTTCTACAGTTCTCTGCAACTTCAACATGCTAGCTAGTTCTTCTTTTTCACATTTCACACAAACACACACAGCAAGATGTTTAACATAACACTTACGCATCTGTGTATTTTACGTGACGACGCTTCTTTCCTTTACTGATTGGCTGACCATCATCATCCACAATAAAATCATCAGGATCTAAAAGAAATCACTGGTTTAAGTGATCTTATGAAAATGATCATCACCATAGATCAAGTATATGAAACAAATAATTCATTTAACTGTTCTTCATGATAATATAGTCAATAAGTATATTTCAAAGAAACCATTTCTTTAATTCTAAGCTTGTGACTGACACCATCCATTAAATATGAAACAATCATGTACTTTAATTTCAAAAATAAAATCAGCAATCAATCACTACTATGTGATACAATAATTATTTAACTGATGCTTAAATTAATTATTAACAGTCATTGAAAAAACTTATAAACACTAATAATACTATTTGGTGTTGTTTAACTTTTTTCAACTATAAAAAGTGGATTTATTGTAGCAGTGAACTGAGTTATAATTTTGAAAAAAGTAGCACACTTCAGTGAAATATAAATAGTGCAAGATTATAAGAATAATTACTTACTAGTAACATTTTAGAATTGCTTTTTACCTGACTCTCCTTCTGATCCAGACAAGTCTCTATACTGATCATCTTCCTCTACGGGAGGTTCTGCGGCTTCTCCCTCCTAGGAAAAATAAAGCATTAGCTACAATAAAGCTTTCTTCCTCTTAAAAAACAAACAGAAATATTAGCTATAAAACCCAAAGGAAACAGGCTCCTAAGAAGTATAAGGTACAATACAAAAACATTGAACTCCTGTGAAAAAGTATTAGCTACAATACACTACAGCAAGCCCCCCCCCTCAAGAAAAATAACTGTTTTACTTCATTAGTTTTGAATGTGAAGGCACTGCCAATGTTCTCTTCCAAGTCTTCTTTACACACCAGATCAAAAACTTCACCTATCACTATTATTTTTGTCCATTGCCAAGTTTACACTTAAAGAGTCTTCTTACACTGAACTAAGTTACTGCTGTACTGGTATAATTGTATAAATGCAATGAAAAGAAGACATATTTCTGTCTAAATAGTCTAGCACTCTAAAACCACAAAGGTGAGCAGACAGCAGTGTAACAATGTTCTAACACTAAATAAAGAAAATTACACATATGTCTTGCAGATAGTGTCAAAAGCACTATAATATACAGTATTTACTTTTCTCAAGATCCTTCTAACAAAGCCCCAGAGTTTGGAGTGCATACTGGAGGGAATTAGACATTTTGGTAATAAAGAGAGAGAGAGAGAGCCTTTACTCTCCAGATAATAATAATAATAAAACAATTTCAGCCAATGTTTTGTCATTTCAGCTTCTTCAGAGATTTTCTCATTTTCTTTCCATGATCAGAAATGTAAAATGCAGAAAAATATACTTTATAATTGTAAAAGTTTAGAGCTTGTAGTGCAAACTAGAGAGTATTGATTGTTAAAAAGTAAATAAAACACAATCTATTACTCAAGAAAACATAACTGGTTTTATTTAAATCAATGTTTTGCCATTACAGCTTCATTAGGGCAAACAAGACACTTGCTAACTGATTTAAACTTTGTTTTTTTCTTCAATTATACAAAAGTTTTCAAAATAATACAAGTCTGCTGAATAAGGTGGACTTCACTTGAGAATATACAAACATAATTGTTGCACATTGTGAACTTGAAAGCACACACAAACACAAAATTATTTATTTAAACCACACATAAGACATGTTATTATAATAATTAAATATAAGTAATAGTTTTGGTAGTTACAAGGTTGGTCTAATTGACCGATCCCGTTTTGAGATAGGGTAGAGAAAATAACAGATAAACTATAAAGTTTTACTGAAAAAAACGTTTGAAATGCATTAAGAAGTTTTTAAGGATTACACAAAGAAAATTTGAGATTTTTGAGATGAGGAAAAGTAGTTTTAATTTTAACATGAAAATTACTTTCCACATGGACTATTCAAAACAAATACGCAATATATTCTTGGATAAATCTTTATTTTATTTTATTAAAAATACTTCACTAAGAAATATAGCTTTTATATGTGAAAGACTTCTAATGTTTACTGCCAGACTACCAAATTTTGTGAATATATACACACTATATCAAAAGTTAGTAGTATCAAATCTATAAAGACTCTATATGAGTACAAAAAAGGTCACATGGTCAGTCAAATTGATCGAGCCCGTATGGAGAGTTAAATAGTATAATTTTGTCTGTTTTCATGTACTTTCAATTTACTATGTACAACAATATAATTTTGTCTGTTTTCACGTACTTTCAATTTACTATGTACAACAATATAATTTTGTCTGTTTTCACGTACTTTCAATTTACTATGTACAACAATAGAATTTTCTAACAGTTATGTTTATATGTACTCAAAATAAGTCCATCTTATTACACATATTTGAATTACTTTAAATTCTTTTATATAAGCCTAAATCAGTTAACAAAAGTGATTTGTTAGACTTGATGAAGATGTAATGTCAAAACATTGGCTCAAGTAAAACCAACAGTGTTCTGGAGTAATAGGTTGGTTTTAAAACAAATTTTTTTGGCACATTTGTAATGTTCAATCTTAAAAACTCAAAATTATTAAAAAAACAATGAGTGTAGAGTGTTTGAGATCGTTTTCCAGTTTCATCGGGATTTTTACCACTTTTTATCCTGTACAGTAAATTATTGTATTTTAGTAATTTGGAGACTGGAAAGAATCTCATTTTTATAGAATTGTGTATAAAATCGTTGTTTTCTAAAAATTTTGAGTTTTTAAGGTTATGTTTTACTTTTCTTTTTTAACAACAAATATTTTAAAACTCCCCAAAAAATCAAAATATTCTGAGCTAAAGGTGTTTTTAAGAGAAAATAAATAAAAGCAATTAAAATTCAATAACAGTGCACTGCAAGTACCATAGATGTAACCAAATCAGCAACTGACATAGAAAAGCATGAGGTACATCCTCAGAGAAAGTTGCAAGAAACATGGCTAATAACATGTGTGGCACATCCAAGTTTGCTGAATGGTGATGTAGTTTAGAGGGAATTCTGGTCAGTGCCTGTAATTTACTTTCTCAACATTCAAAAAATATAAAATGTATTAGAAAAAAGTTTACTTATTTGCACTGCACAGTTTCATATAATTTGTATAGTTTATGCTAAAATTTAACACTGAAGTTAAACATCATATAACTTTCAATTAAACATCTAAGTCATTAAATTTATATAATTAGTGCTTCTAATTTTTGGTTTTAACTGATAAACACCGGAAATGGTAATTCAGTTTACTTCACGATAACATCTCCACTTTCCCTAAGACACTAGTCAGTTTGATTTTATAATTTCATATTAAATATTAACTGCTCTTACAAAGCTTTGACACAATAGAACAATGTTTTGTACCTGTTATTATTCCCATAAGAGAAATTTGTGTTCAAAGAATATATGGTATAATAATATACTCATTATAGTATTAAAAGCTAAAGCTCTGGAAAACACCAATTTTAAGATACCTACATAAAACTAAAAATACTGATTTTAAAATATCTAAATAAAATTATAAAAATAGATAAAAATAAACAACAAAAAACAGAAGCTCTATATATAACTTAGGACTTCATACATACAATGAACACATTCCACTTAGTCCTGAGAATTTTGGCATTTTATTCATCCACACAAAATATGCCTAACATTCTCGAGAATATGTACTTTTGATGAGGAGAGATTGAATTTTTTTCTCAAAAGTTGAAGAAGAAAAGTAAATAAATGATAAAACAAAAATTATCTTGAACTTACTGCATCTGAACCTTCAAAAAGTTCATTCGCTATTGCTTCCCTTTCATCAACAACTTCTCTGTTAGCCGAATCCTGAGTCTCTTCAGCATCACTCTCATCATCTTCAATTCTCCGGAGTCGTTTGAATTTTTTCTTCTGCAAAGGACAAAAAATATTGATGTTCAAATCCTTTCTTAAAAAACATAACTGCAACCATAAACTACCCTTTTGTAATTTTTGAAAGCATCTAGAGGTATACAATATGCAAAAGAAGAAAAACCTTTAAAACAATAAGATACCACTAAATAATACATTAATAGTAAAAATACAATCCATTTTCACTAACAAGAATGATGATGAAACTGAAAATCTACAACACTATTTACTGGATTCATTTAATAATAATAACTTCCAATCAGAGTAAGCTATGTACTTAGAATGAAACTAAAAATTAACATGGATATCAGCATAGTTAATTAAATATACTTTGCTTACTTATCTACTTACAGAGAATAGAATGCATTGTTTCATCAGTTGGATACTCTCCCTGTTAACAATATTTTTGGCCATAAACCTAATAATGCCTCATGGAAATTGTTGACTCTCATTCAAAATTTTATTGAACTACTATTTCAAGAATTTATATAAATAAGTTTGGTATCAAACTGTAATCATAATTCAAATTTTAGTATTACATATTATTCAATTTCTTAATTTAAAAGTAAATATTAAAAAATACCCTTAAACATCAATTTTTTGTCACGTTGTATGTTGAATGCAGCATTGGTTCAAATTAGATGTTTGTGATGTCAAAATACTAAGTGTATAGTTTTGTACAAATTAGGAACTCAAATTACCGATATTGACAAGAATACAAAATAAGAACCTCCTATCTTTTCTATTTGCTGAAATATAGCTCATGTACTTAATCAAACACAGTAGACCTGCTCATCTCTTTTCATTTTTGGAAATGCTCCCTTATACACACTTACTTCTGTATATGACATGTGAATAACCAATCGGAAGCTCGGTATGTCCCCCTAGTGACTTTCCCAGCCATTTTCAAGTGTTACAACACCATCTTGTTCTTTCGAAATAAGATTTCAAGAAGGTTGGATGAGTCTTTAGTCTGCTCGAAACTTCATATTTTTTTAATGAAATACAGCTTAGTTACTAGGCTTGATAAATTATAGTGGAATTCTATGGTATTTATATAGTAATTTATTATTTTTTGATTATTCATCTGTATATATAAAACTCTTTTTAAAAAATGATTTCGTTTCATATCCTCCATGTGCAAAATAATAAAAACTTAGCAACCTATGTCAAGTAGTAACCGAGTACAAAAGTCATAACTAGATGAGATAATTGTTTGCTTTGCTTCTTAATTTCAAATAGTAATAATCTATATATATAAAATGTAGAATAATTGAAATGTGACTGTATTTCACAACAGGTTACTTGGTAGAGACTAAAGGTCAGTTTTATAATATTGGATACGGTAACATGAGTGCACATGACCTCATCATTGTAACTTCTCTATTGTTAGCCAGGCATGGCTGGAAGGTCAATATAATAAATATGTATAAATGTATAATGTTATGAGATTTTAGCTATTTAGTCTAAACATTTATGTTTCCATGTTTTAATCTGTAGTCATTTTAGAAAGAAAAAGGCATAATTTATATTTACTTCCTAATTTTTTATGGTTAGGAAATCGATCAAATCTGCTGAAACTGTACAGAGATTCGTTACTGAAAATAACAGATAAAATCTAAAGTTTTCTCTTAAGAAATGTTTGATAACTATCTAGACATTTTAAAGATGTCACACGTGAAAATTGAAAATTTTCTGATGCATAAAAGTATTTTATTATTAAAATGAAAATTACTTTGCATGTTGGATAAGCAACATGCAAAAAAGAAAAAAAGGCATGAGAAAAACATTGCTTAAGAAACCTTAAGACTTAATAAAAACATTTGATATTTTGCATATGAAAGCAATGTGATGTTTCCTAATAATCTGCCAAATTTCATTAACATTTGCTTACTAATTTAAATTATAGCATGAAAACTATAACAAGCACAAAATATTTACGTGGTCGGTTTCAGGGACTGAGCCCATGCTGAAAGAGTGTAAGATAGTCAAAGGGTTAAACCTACTCTGATGCCTTTACTATATTTCAGTTTGTTTTGTTCTGACAATGTATAAAGTAAGCCTAATCTATGCATTTTTAGAAAAATAATACAGTGACACAAAAAAATTCAATGAAATGGATGCAGTCATATCTAAAATACATGTTCCAGTCTTTAAAAAAATGCAGGAAGAGCAGAAGCAAGGAAGAAAACAAAAAGGGTACCAACAAATTGCCAAAACAATCTGCATATGTGCTTTGAGAGCTTTGGTGAACAGCATAAAAACCTGCAATAAATTTTCTTGACAAAAATTAGTTTGTCAACTTTGTGTTTTTGGTTAAAAATCTGGGGTATCTTATTTTGTAAATTTGCTTTTGTGAAAGTCCTTTAGTACTTAATGTGCATTTTCATTTCAATTAATAGAGAAAATATTAAAAAAAGGGATTCCACTATCCAACTAGCTGGAACCAAGGTAATGCTAAATGTTGAATAATATGAAATAGAAATTGCAAAACTACCAACAAATTAGTAATAACAATGTTTTTAAAAGGAAAAGTTGTTGATACAAATGGGTGAGAATAAAATTACATTTTCATCACAGAGCCATGTTTGTCAAATAATATGTGTAATCTTATAGAGAATCAGGCATAAATAAACAATGCAGTTTGAACTGTCTATCCAAATATCAGTCATCAGTGGCTGACTTAGCAGTGAATGTGTTAAATTACGAATTAAACCATTTCACATCTTGAATTATAGTACTAGTGTACTATGTGTATTAGTGTGGTTGGATCCGATCACAGCTTAATTATGTGAATCCTTGGTGTTTACAGGACTTTCACAGTGATCTAGTTTGGTAAAAAAAAAGTAAACTAGATATTTCTACTTCTACACGCGTATGTCCTAGAAGACAAAACAGGTAAAGTTCCTATTGATAGAAAACTTACTCTTGGCATTTTAACTCCCAAATTTGTCTCCAGAAGTTCATAATCTTCATCATCTAGGTTGTCATCATAATCCTCTAAAATTTCGAAATGTACTTGATTTTATTAAACTTGATTTTAGTAAGCTTCATTTTATTAAACTTTATTTTATTAAACTTGATTTTATTAAGCTTCATTTCACCTGGAGTAATTCTAAGATTTTCTTACAACATAAAACTCACAGAATAAATTACAATAACTCAACCTATTGTTATTTGGTGTTAATAATCATACAGAAGCTTTATAAGAATAATTTAATTAGTATAAATATGAAGAGACTACTACTTCCAACTACATGAAACCAACACATTTGGCTTAAGTATCTGCTTGACTTCTAACAAACTCTAGCCGATAACCGTATCATAGTAAAATATTAAAAATGAGACAACTGGAATTTGCCAACAAGAAAGATCTGGGTTCAAAAAATAGTTAATTTCATACCATGCCTTCTTTTCTTTTTCCTAATATTATCATCATCTGAATCTCCTCCACCTTCATCCTCTATCTGCTCTTCCTCTTCATCCTCCTCTTCATCATTTATAAGGTCTTTCATTTCATCCCGAAGCTTTTCTTCATCTAACAAAAAGTTACAAAAATAGTTTTCAAAAAATCAAGTGATTCAAGCAGCACCAGTTTTCACTTTATGATTTATAACCATAATGTTCATAGTACAAGAGAATTTCATATGTATTTTAATAAAAGGAAAGAATGCTCTAAATTAAACAACCACAGAGAACATATCTGCACATGCAACAAGAAATTGCTGCCAGTTCTCTGAAAGCCAAGAGGGACTGCTACAAAATTTAATACAAAATATGAAACAAACATATTATGTTAGAATGAACAACATAAAAAGAATTATACAAGTAAAAATTAACTACATATCACTGTTTTGAAAGAACAATCCCTCTTAATGGGGGGGGGGGTAAACATTAATGTACAATGAAAAAATTATGCCAGTACTACATAAATGTGCAGCTGTATACTGGAACAAACTTAACAACTAAGGTGTTATTTATTATACATGAAGTTCAATTAGTCAACAAAATTACCTTTGTTGAAGACATTACATCTATAATACATTGTTAAGCTTACCATCCTCCTCCTCCTCTTCATCATCTTCATCAACTAATCGTTTCTTTAAGTTTGATTCCAATTCTTCATCTTCTGACTCTTCAGCTTCACTATCTAAGAAATCTGCCATTTTGATCTCTCAACTTTTCTAACCTACAAGGGGAAAACTTATAATAAACATTTTTGATTAAAAGTTTTGATAAAAAAATGTTAATTATGTTACAATGTTTTTTACTTAGATTAAAATATATATCATGTATGTGTTTCAAGTATAAAAATTCTAACTATCAAGAGTTCACTCTCAACTGTAAAGAGGGGATATTTTTGACAGAAACTCCAAGTTTGTTTGAAAGTGGAACTTAAAAAAGACAATGGATATGGAAACTATCTAGGACCCCACTTAATCCTAAGCAATTTCTGAAATAGGAACATTTCAACCTTTCCAGGTTTACTTATTTACCAGCATTTATACACTCCTTAATATTGGTGTTGTGTTATAAACTGCATGAGTAACACTTCCAAGTTCCAGTTGAGAAACATTCAAATAGCCCCAAACCAATTAACTTTAAAGCAATAATATAACTAACCAATAAGTTTTAAACTCCTTCTATATGGCTGGGGTCAAAGTATATATGTCAAGACATTTTACAGTTTCATTCAAAATTTATTTAAATAACTTTATTATTAATGTATGTCAATAAACATAGTTTATGATTCATGTTTTTTTTACGGTTAAATTTCAAAAGGAAGTACTAGCATAAACATTCTCAATCTTCACTCTTCTGTCTCACGTCTCCACTGATTTCTCCCTTTTAGAAGTTTCTTGCATCAAAAATAATTGCACTTGGATGCCATGTTTCAGTCTCCCTACTATGTTGGTTGTCCAAAAAATATTTTATGTAGGTTTCAAATATGCATTTTAGAACATGGAAATTTATCAGGCACTAGAAAAGTTTCCCAAAACTACTATAATTTATCTGGCTTTCTAACTAACCTATAAATAGGTTAAAAAAGTCCCATTATTGCTAGGAGCAATAACTTTACTCAACACAAATCAAGCTTTTCTTGCAAACTACTGTCATTAACCACCAAATATAAACAATCTTAAAATTCCTGTACATTAGTATATGATTTTTCTATTGATTATAAACATGTCCATCAGCAATGTTCAGAGATAATTACATACCTGTCTTTAAAACTGAGACAGGTGGGATGGGTTTCTTTGGTGAGGGTTGACAAATGTATTGATATCTCAGCAAATCAAGAAGAAAGAAAGTTCCTATTTTATATTCTAATTATCTGTAGTTTGTGTCTATTTGCTTGGATACTTTGAAAGCCATATTACTGAACATATATCATCTAAAAGAGATAATTCAGAGCACAGATGCATGATGTGACACACAGTGAAGATTGAGAACTTTTTATCAGTATTTCCTTTCAAAATTAAGAATTTAAACCTCAGATAACACAAAATCTTAAATTATAAACATGATGTCAAATTTATTGATAGACAATGATAATAAAGTTGCTTAATTAAATCATAAATGTAACACTATAATGTAACACAAAACAATAATAAGGGTTAATGCATTTTCTACCATATTGAAAATGCTAACTACCTGTTCCATCTCACTTAATCTCCAGATAGGTCATGGATGAAAGGTCATGTCACCACGTTTGTTGATGTGTATTCAAAACCTTATTGAAATACTATTTTATGAATTTAAGTCAATAAGTTTGGTATCAAACCGTAGGTTATAATTCAAATTTTAGTACTATATATTAATCAATTTCTTAATTTAAAAGTAATTACTGAAAAACACAGATAAACATGGATTTTTGTGTGTGTCATGTTGTATGTTGAATGCAGCACTGGTTCAAATTAGATGTTTGTGATGTCAAAATACTAAGTGTATAGTTTTGTACAAATTAGAAACTCAAATTACCAATATTGACAAGAATACAAAATAAGAACCTCCTATCTTTTATATTTGCTGAGATATCGCTCATGTACTAAATCAAACACAGTGGCACCCCATCAACCTCTTTCCATTTTTGAAAATGCTCCCTTATATACACTTACTTCTGTATATGACATGTGAATAACCAATCGAAAGTCCCCATTGTGACTTTCTCAGCCATTTTCAGGTGTTATGATGCCATCTTCTTC